AAATTTTAGAATAATCTTGTCTAAATCTACAAAGCTTGCTGGGATTTTGATTGAAATAAATTTTAAAAGATAAACAACAGGCATATTTTCATCCAACACTAGTACATCAGAGAAAAAGAAGATTAAAAGAGCCCCAAGGAGTGCGAGGAGACAGGTTCTAGATAAAAGGAGAATCGGAGTTGCGCTGGGCTTTCCAATAGCAACACTGGACATAACTCTGCTATAAACACTGATGACCTCGCCATCTTTCTCCCTTCCTAAGAAAGCAGACAAAACAACAAGAAAAAGTTAGAAACAACTAAACAAATACAGATTTTTTTTAAGTGCCCCACTTTCTCAGCCAATAGGAAACCAAAAAACCTCTGCCAAACCCCAAAGAAACACAATTAAAATTAAACAGCAAATGCAAAGAGAATGTCCAGGGGGCTTCCTGAGTGGCCCGTCTCAGAAAGTACCAGCGAAGTGCACCTCCTGAGAAGGAGAAACTCCTCCAGAAATGCAAAGGCCAGAAGCTGTGGCTCTAAGCACTGAGAGTGAGGTTAGCCGGCCTCAGCACTCGTCACGAGGTCGGGGTGCAGAGAGAAAAGGCACGGGGGCACCTGGAGGGCTCCCAGCAGCGGATCTCAGAGAGATCCTGCAAAAACACACTCCCTGAGGAGCAGGCGCGCCTGGGGGTGCAGGGCTGTGTCCTCTGGACGCTGCTGCCGCCGCCGCCGCCGCCGCCGCCGCTGCTGCTGCACCTGGGATGCAGGGTCAGGGCCAGAAGTCCCTCCAGACTCAGCGTGGTCAGATGGCCTGAGGGAACAGGGCTACACAACACTGTCCCAGACGACCCACAGCAGCCAGTCAGTGGTGTCTGTGCCCGCAGAGGGCCTGCCCACCACTCGGGACCCAGCTACAGAGAGCTGGACCCAGAAAAACCTTCTTTTTAAAAAACTGGCAATCAGGAAAGCAAACTTACAGTGACCAGAGAGGAATGGGGGAGGAGGGATAAGCTAGGAGTTTGGGATTTGCAGATACAAACTACAATATATGGAATAGATAAACAACAAGGTCCTACTGTAGAGCACAGGGACTTATCTTCAACAGCTTGTGATAACCTGTAATGAAAAAGAATCCGAAAAAGAATATACACGTATAACTGAATCACTATGCTGTACACCAGAAACTAACACACAGTGTAAATCGATGATACGTCAATTAAAAAAATAAACAAAAGGATAACATTAAAAAAGTGCAGAAAAGAGCTGCAAACTGACAGATGCATGAAAGACCGTCACAGAAAAACGCTGTCAGGGAACAAATAAACGCTGAGCACACAGGGTGAACCTCTCAGTGCCACCTAGGACGGCCACAGAACACACAGGCAGGAGCTCAGACGTCAGTAAATTTTTCTTTGACACTTTTGCTGAACTAACTGTAGACTTAGAAAGTCCTTTCCCTTCAGAGAACATAAAAATATTCATTGTTTACTTTTCTTTTACAGCTTCAATTTTAGTTCTTTACTATCTTTAACTATCTTTACTATCTTTTCCATTTTTAACTTTTTTCTGGAATTTGGTTTGAGGCAGGAATGTAACTTAAAAAAAGACACCTGTTTTATTTGGGGACGGGGAAATGCGTATTTCCAATGGAAACACACTTGATGCTTATCCGTCTGCTAGAAATTCTCTGGTATGATGCATCACTGGTGTTGAGGGAGGAATCCACACGCAGCTTCTTCAGCGAGCTCGCGCTCCACCAGAACAGCCCTGCGATGTCCCAGGGTCCCCAGCCATCCCCGCACCTGTCTCTGTGATCACTGCCAGGGAGGCTGCAGGGCCACCCACAAGGTCCAAGGTCAGAGTGACAACTGAAGGTGCTTTTGTTTCGGGTACCTGTACTACCCATAAAGAAACCAAATTTTTAAAAACAGGGCAAATTTGTGGCATTGTTTTATAATACTTTCAATAGCTGGAATGTTATTTTTCTATCTACTACAATTTTTTTTGCTTAAATATACAAATTGTTAATAACCATTATTTATGAGGTGAATTGAGAACTGTATAATTTATTCAGAGAAATTTCAGCAGAGAAAACTGTAAAATATTTTAAATGTATTTTTGTCACAAGTGACTTTAAAAATTTTATTACAGAAATTTTAAAGCACGAGGTGAAATAAATCCCCCAGTACGCTCATTCATAACCACCATCTTTAAAAAATTTTCAACAATCCCATCTTTCTTCCAGTAACATTGATTGATTGCTTGTTAAGTTTCTGGAAAATCTCCAAGCCTGCCTTACCCCATTTAAAACTCAGGTAAACCCAATGAACTAGGTCAGTGGTAGAATTAGTGTGAAGTTAATAGTTGACTTGCATGGATACCTTCCAAATAAGGGGCCCTAGAAATATCTTCACGTTTATACGTTTTTATAAAATTGGGAAAAATGAGACATTTCAACCATCATCTGTTAAAAGCGCTGTCTCTTTCCACTTCAGCTGCACCTCGTTTGCTCTTTCTCCTTCTGCTCTAACCACGAAGTGGCGGTGGGTGTTTCTAAGATTTTGTTAAGAACTGACTGGGACTTATTTTTGTGTTCTGCAACCTCTTCCATGTATAATTATTACGTGGTGGCTGGCCATCTGGGTTTGGGATGTCTTCTAGAAGTATGCTGAATGTGGTCAGTTTAAAGAATATTTAAGAGCATTCCCTCCGTAGAAAATTCAAAATGCACTGAAGTCTTACAGCTCAGATTTCAAAGAAACTCAATAGAGGGTTCCTCAAATTTGACAATAGTTGAAAAATTAATCTGTATTATTAGCAAACGGTTAATAATTTGAAAGAAACCTCTGTAAGCTGTCAAAAATAAAAAGCAAATTGCCATCAACCATGTTAGAAGACACTCTAAATCACTTCCTGTTACTGCTGTGTTATAGAAAAGCACATTACAAAGTTATGCCTGGCAATTCACTTAACCTCTGGAAACCTC